CAACTCAGGTACAGGACCTCCATCTTCTGTGGATTTAGCTTCAACCAACTCTGCTGCAGCCATCCAGCCACAGCCTCCAAAGCCTCGGCCAAATTCAATCCAATCCAAAGCCTTTTGTTGGCATATAACCTCGGCCAAATTACCAGGGGCGGAGGATGGATGGCCTTCCAATGACAGATAGAGCTGGGTGTCATCTGCATATTGATGGCAACCCAGCCCATACCTCCGGACCAACTGGGCAAGGAAACACATGTAGATGCTAAATAACATTGGCGAGAGGATCTCCCCCTGTGGCACTCCACATTCCAGTGCTATCACAGGGAGGTCCTCTCGCCCAGCGCCACCCTCTGTTCCTGACCATTAGGGCATCTAAACAAGTAAGAACCACATCTTAAAACCACAAGTCAAAATAATGTGGCATTATCACAAAAACATGGGAAGATTCCATTACATGAAGAAGTCAGGGGATATCCACACTTGTATACTCACTCCTCCCTTTGCACACTTACTTCCATGACAAACTACAATGTAGCAATAGTACAAATTTACAAATTTCAGTTTGTGTTTTCCTTGAATAGCAGGACTCCATCACAGTTTGGAATCCTGGCTTGCGGGGAAAGCACGAACCACAGTTTTGCAGTTCAAGCACAGCAAGCTATGACTTGCCACAAAACCATGAGTCATTCGTTTGCTGGCTGTGCATGAGGGGATGAGAGACTGCATAAGTTCACAGATCCCCCAAGCTAGTTCACTTAGTAGCAAGCTATGCTTTGCTGTTGAGATTGCACCATGCCATTTAACTGGAAGTATTAAACAAGATTAGCAAATTACACACTGGAATTTTTTCTGCAACAACAGTATTACTACCAGCTATTAGGGCAGGAACCCTGGAGTCAGATGAACTTCCTCACGGATGTGTATTTCCAAGGTTGGAGTCAGTTAATAAGAAGCCCCTTTCCTGTGTAAATGCCCACCTCACCTTAGATGGTAGAAATTAAAGAATGCACAAGAAACATGCAGGGTATTTCCTCATGTACCTATCTGTGTTTCCATGCAACAGGAAAAAATCAGATATCCAAACACTACATGTTTCGACCTTTTCCTGCAAATTCTTACCACCTCCCATGCAGTATTCTTGTAGGAGGTACAAAGTGCTAAGTTGTGCAGATTTGTTATGAAGTAGAGGTATAAATGCACATTCTACAACATGTCATAGAAATATCCAAACCCCTTGCAGCAGAAATTCGATTCATGCATACTTTTATTGTCACAAGCTGTAAATGTTCTGTGCTCTACTTGTCAGCTCCCCAGAGCAAGTGCTTGGCTGCTGTGTGAAACAGGATGCTGGACTAGATAGACCACTGGACAGATCCAGCAGGGCTCTTCTTATGTTCTCATGTCCTATTTAAGATGCAAAAAAGACCCAATTATGCCTTGGATCTGAAGCTCCAAAAGTGTTCAGAGAGTAGATTTAGATGTCTCCCAATGGCTTTTTGCCTGGATATAGACCATGCCAGCATGTTGCACAACAGCCTTTACATGACAGCAGCCTGGGAAGATCACCTAGTGACCTCCTGACAGGCAAGGTTTAAATTGGAGCCTTCCCAGGATCAGGGTCACTGCATTACCTCTTCTTTGACTGCTTCTGTGTTTCGCTACTCATAGGTAAAAGCAGAGTAAAGGATGTGACACCATGGCCCACAGATGTGTAGCCAGCCAATATGGCTTAACAAGCACCAGCAGTCTTTAATCTGACTTGATTGCTAACGCATTATAGTGAACAGTGCTGTAGCTATAACTCTCCATGTCATTCACTAACCAATGCCAAAGTGAGCCTTCTTTTTCTTGGGCAGACAGTCTTCTAGTGATTTTGGGAAGCCAACATCCATTATACATCATCCTCTAAAAAAACTTTTCCTGGGGCAATCTAGATATTAGTTATGTCTTCTCAAAAATAATTCAAAAAGCCAAAGTTTCTGGTCTTTTGTATTTAAGTGTTATTTAAGAAGTCTTGCAGGAATAGTTACATGTCCAGCCATCTTGTAAAGGCCCCCTACTGGCACTGTCTGGAATAGCCACCACTCAGCTCCAGTTTTAAATCTCAGAATGGACAAGGCACTTAATGAGAAATGAAATGGAATAGTAAGAATTACGTATGAAGGAAAGAGAATTACATGAAACTGCACAGGAATATATATCCCAGCTCAAGTTCACAGAACTGAAATATGTACATTTTCTCTTGAAACAGGAAATGGCAAAAGGGGCCACAATTGACCACATTAATAGCTCAACCATTTTAAGCCACGAGAGAAGTGAAAATATAATCCTGCTGGCCTTCAAATTATTATTAAACTGTACCAAAACTATGTCCACCAAATCAAAATATTTGATGTATTAACTGTACTGCAATCCCATGGATCATATTGTGTTTGGAAAGATGGTTGTTTCATAATGCGTTAAACTTTGTAGGCCATCATCAGCTATCTTAAGATTCATGTTTATATTACGTTCTGGCAAAATGCTCATCATTTTAGTCAGCTATATGTAGGTGTGTGGCGTTAAAGCCTGTATTTTGCAAAGGTGCTGGGGAGTAGTGATAACACAACACCCACTGTGCTAAGGACAGGTTAAAGGTCAATTTTGCCCTCAATACAAGTAAAGCTCACTTTTACTTAAGAATGAATGGCAGCCAGTCACTGGTGATGGAGGGGAATGAACTTCCTCCTGGTTACCCCACTCACTGGGAATCAAAACTATGCCTACCTCTGTAGTCCCCCCCCCATTGCCTTTTCATCTTAACAGTCTTACTCTGGGCTCTATTTCTTGGCCATAGCAGCATGCAACAGAACACTGAAAACTAGTTTTATACAGGACCCCCACTCTTTAGCGTTCCCTGTCATTATTTAGAAGCTGATCCATATACACTCCGAAGCAATTAACGGTGGAATCCTATCTATAGATCAGTGGGCTTAGACCCCAAAAAATTCTGCAGTCTTGTGAAGAGGGCTATTTAAACCCCCTACCTTGGTTACAATTAGATCCTGCTCATGATACAGAAGCATAACAACACAGGCCATTAGTAATGTGAGAGAGCAGCAGCTGCAAGACACACACTCCAACCAGCAGCTGGGACCAGATAAGGCAACAAAACCAGATGAAACAAACCAGGTAAGCCACTACAGTGCCAGATCAGCCTGGCTGTCCACATACAAGGCAGGCTGGTGTCTTTTGCTAAAGTAAAACACTAAGAGGCCAGTCACAAATGCAAAAGAACCAAACACAGGCACTTCCTTCCATACACACTAACAAATCTATTCAGCTTCAAAACAACCATACTATTGTCCTGTCACACCAAGATGCAAAAGGCAGACACCGCTTACAATGCAATCCTCAGCAGAGTTACAGCCTTCTAAACCCATTGAAATCACTGGGATTAGAAAGGTGCAACTCTGCTTAGGATGGCGCTGTTAGTCCAGTTGGCGGGGAGGAGTGTGGAGATGGAGGTGAGTGGCTTCATCCTATGCACCCAGGCGGAAAGAACAAAGCTGAGCAGTGCCATGCTCCTCCTCACTGGCAGCACCACTGGGTTCCTTCTCACCAGCCACACTGCTCTCAGGCTGGTGAGGAGCATGGGCATAGTGGCACCCTGTGCCAGCCTGGGTGCGGCGCAACCAATGAGGAAGCGGAAAGCAGCACCTCCCCTCGCTCCAGCCTGTTCTTTGGCCTTTCATAAGGGGAGGTGGTGGGGGAGTCCGAGGGACCCTGCTTTCCTTCCAGCTTCTTCCCCTTAAGACCTAGCCTTTTAAGGAGCAAAGCTTTTCCTGACTTGCACTAGCCTGATTTGCCCTTCCACATCATTGGAAGATCGAGAAGGGAGCATCGCTGTCCACAACCCCAACATTTCCCTACCTAACATAAAATGTTAAGCCTGGAGTATTTAGTTCATTGTTTGCATTAATTTATGAGTTCATATAGTACTAAGAGCAACTGCAACCCGCTTTTACCATATTATTTACCTGGTGGTACACTTAATTTGCCCTTTAATAAATGGTGAGAGTTTAACCAAGAAAAGCCACCATGGCCAAAGCATTTCATGTAAACAAATCCCATGTGATATAGTGATGATAGCCGTAATCTTCATCCTCAAATCCAAGACCCACCTCTAATTGCAATCTGCAAGATGACACATAGTTTACATTATTGCTTTTCATATGTCCTTTTTTCTGCTTTGCTTTATGTGATGACCAGGTGCGAAGGAGGATGCCATAAACAGTTGCACAAAAGAGGGGATAGCCTGCAGATACAGCTTGCCGTGCTGGGGTGAGAAAACCTGCACTTCCTGAAAGTACCTCCACCACAGAACTATTAGAAGTGTAGTGGTCTTTGTCCACTTTTGCATGTGGTATGTCATCTTTCCTCCTCTTCTTAAGTTAAACAACATAAAAGCAAGGGAGGATGTGGGTGTTGGCTTCCTAGACTGGCCGCAGATAAAATCCTCATCTTCAGAAAAAGAACCTGCTCCCTAGTGGACGGAGAGGGATATCACCTGACTGTTTGGGCCACTAGAGGGCAACAAGTAAAAGGAAAGAAAGTGGTGTGTTACCACTGGTATGATTTGCATATGGCTAGGACACAACACACTTGTGGGTCCCAAAGACTAATAGACTAGAATACTGGCTTTGGATGTAGAAAGTCCAGGTTCAAATACTCACCAAGCTATGAAGCTCAACAGCTGGTCTTGGCCAAGACACTATCCTAACTCACAGGAGCTGTTGCTCAGAGCTCCTTAGAGAGCAGAATAAAAGTGAGACAGAAGACAACACACAGGAGGGGTTAACATAGCTTGTGATACAAAAAATGATCTAACTTTTTAAGATCTGAGGAAGGCCCACAAACCTTTGAAAGAATCAGTCAAAAGTTAACAGCTGTAGCTCTAGACCCCACAAGTGCCCCAAAGGCAAAATATGCCACTCTTGTTGTCTCTGTGTCCTCATTGTTACCTGGAGGTGCTACTCGGTCCTGATACTTGGGCTCGAATTCACTGACTGTGAGCAGCATGACTTGGATGGTCCCAACGAAGATCCCTGCCAGGCAGCCGTAGAAGATCACATAGAAGAGCAAGATCTTAACTGTGATGAGAGGGGGGGAAAAATACACCATCAACTACGTACTGCTAGTTATGCACTAGGCCAGTTTCAAGATTATAAGCACAAAGCAGGTAGAGACAAAAATTCAAGCGACTTATAACAAAAGAGGGGGAAATATATTATACTCAAGGAATGCACTCCACCCAAAATAAGCAAAGCAGACCAGAAACAGTAATTCATTCAGTTTAGTGTGTTTCCACACACAGCCTGCAACTGTAAACACAGAAAACGACTTCCCTAACTGGTTAGACTAATTCATGGGAAATAGTTCTGTTAAAGACTCTGATGCATATTTATTGATTTACATTTTTCATAGCCTGCCTTTCTCACTAAGACTCAAGGCAGATTATACAGTATAAATCAATGCAGTCAACCGGATGGGACATCCAATAAGTAATGTAATAGGATTAGGATTGTGGGAATTATGATCACGTAAAAACATGGAACAAAGCTGAAACAAAGCATAAGTATTAATGTGGTATATTAAATAATGTAGAAAATGCATAATAGGATAATACATACAGCAACAGATAGTATATACTGCACACAGTAGAATAGTCCAGTCTATTTCCCTTTATTAAAGCACTCTTCCTGAATCAATCCCATTATAAATCTTATTGCTTTTGTAAAAGTGCCCTCTTGAATAATTCAGTTTTGTACAGTATGTGAAATGTCAGGGCAGTGGGAGCCTTCCTGGCCTCATCAGGAAGGCCATTTCATAAGGTGTGGGCCACAGCAGAGAATGTACATATATGGGCAGTTGTTGATCTTGCCCATTTGCAGGGTGGCACCTGCAGAAGGCCCTGCTTAGACAGTCTGGTGTAGTGCTTAAGTGCACGGACTCTAATCTGGGAGAACTGGGCTTGATTCCCCACTCCTCCACTTGCACCTGGCTGGATGACCTTGGGCAAGCTATAATTCTGGCACAGCTGTTCTTGAAAAAGAGCAGGTTCTGTCAGAGCTCTCTCAGCCCCACCTACCTCACAGGGTGTCTGTTGTCGGGAGGGGAAGGAGTTTGTAAGCTGCTCTGAGACTCCTTTGGGTAGTGAAGGGCGGGGTATAAATCCAATCTCTTCTCTTCTTAGACAAGCAAAGCTGTAGTGGTGGAGGCGATCCCATAGATATTAGGGTCCAAGGCCATGAAGGGCTCTGTGATAGCCAGTACCTTGAGCTGAACCTGGTAACTGATGAACAGCCAATGGAGTGACTGCAGAATGGGGCTAATATGGATGCTCCACCTAATAATAACTAAGCTGGCGATCTGCATCAACTGGAGTCTCCAAGTTGACTTTAAGGGGAGACGTATGTAGAGAGCATAACATCATTCTAATCTCAGTGTTACTGTGACATGGATCCAGATGGCCAGATAGGCTGAGTCAAGGTAATGGGCCATCCTGGGATAAGCTAAGTTAGCAGAAAGTGGTTTTTCACAGCTGCATTAATTTACTTCTCCGACAGTAATGTTGGATCCAGTTCTTGACTGAGTCAGTGAGGGCCAGCTGAAGCCCACTGAAGGTGGGAAGAACAATGCCCTTCAAGATCTCAGGCTTCCCAGCCAGCATTACCTCTGTCTTTCCAGAATTCAGTTTCAATTTATTCATTTAAGTTCAGTGAATAGGTAGTGATTCAGGACTTCTACAGCATCACCAGGAGATTTGGATAAGGAAATACAGAGATGGGTGTCACCAACATATTGATGTCAGTTATCAACATACTGATGACAGTCAGCCCCCCAAAATATGTGGAACCTCCCAGTCCAGAGGCAATATATCTCTGTACAGCCAGTGCTGGGGACATAAAAAAGAGGAAGCCTGCTGTCTTCATGTCCTCAGCTTCCCTGGGGTATCTAGCTGGTCAGGGCTGGAAGCAGAATGCTGGACTATCCAGCAGCACTCTTCTTATATTCTTAATGGGAGTCAGTAAGCACTTACTTGAAACACTAGTCTTGAACTTGAACACCTCACCTGTATTCCACTTTGTGCATAATATGTGATCCACAATGTGTATGATTAAATCTGCATGGTATTACCCATGATTCTTCTGCCACAAGAGGAGACAGATGGATTTTGTAGCCAGGGTATTTATGCATGGAGGTCCCATGCTACATGTGATCATCTATATTAGTGTGTGGAACAGAAATTCATGCACTCCTTAGGGGACACCCACAAGAACTGGGCTTCACTATCAAGTGATTGTGCTTATTCGTGGGAGTCATACCTGTGGGTGAAGATACATGAAAGTACATTGATCTATAACATATCTCAATGAATCAGCATGCATTAGCGTCTCTTCTCCAGTGATACCTAAGTTTTAATTCTGACACAACATTCAGACTTTGGTGTATGACTTGCAAGGTCATGTCTCTCAAAAGACAAGTAGGAAAAGGTGATTGTACACTGTGCATGAATAGAAGAAGAAGAGTTGGTTTTATACTCCGTTCTTCACTACCCAAAGGAGTCTCAGAGCAGCTTACAATCGCCTTACCTTCCTCTTCCCACAACCGACACCCTGTGAGGTAGGTGGGGCTGAGAGAGTTCTGAGAGAACTGTGACTAACTGAAGGTCACCCAGCTGGCTGCATGTGGAGAAGTGGGGAACCAAACCCGGTTCTCCAGATTAGAATTGGCCACTCTTAACCATTACACCACTCTCAACTATGCATTCAAGTTACATTGAGTCAAAATCAGATTCATGTACAAATTACATAATAAAGCGTTTTGTTTAGAGGGGGAAGGAGAAAAACCCAAGCTTATTTATCTACAGGGCTGTTCCCAATGAACTGTATACTCTCTGCAATCTGGTTATATCAGTTACTGGTTTACAAGGATTATATCTCCTGATTAGCTGTATAGTAACAGGCTATACTAGGCATTACCAGGCAGCCTTTGAGAAAGTACCCCCTGCCCAGTTTTTCCCCATGGGAACAAGCAGTAATGCATGGTAAAAGGATTTTTTTAAGTAAGTGCAAAACTAGGAGTATGTTCCAAATATCTCCTGGTAACTTTTTGAACAAATATTTGTGTGAAGCAACTCCAAAGGGAACATCAGAGGCACACCAAGAGGAATTCTGGCTCTTGATAGACATGCTAGTGAAAGAGGAAAACCTATTAAAATAGGGCTTTCCCCTCACAAGGGGACAAGAGACACAAGGGAAGTTACACTTTGCAGCTAACCTCACAACAGCTTTTAGCACTCTCAGGGTTAACACACTCTTTGGTTACCAAGCAGCGGTAGGCAAATACAGTGACGTCCAAGAGATTTGGACATTTTTTCCAGAGTACAATCATAGGAGGTGCTGTTGTAATGAGCTAAAGAGGAACCTGCTGACGGCAAGGAAGGTGCAGTGGGGTTTGTAAGGGGGAGGGAAGAATATGAAAAGAAGAGCTCTAAATAGCAAGGGTGACATACGCTTAAACCAAATTTCCAAGCAGGATGTTAAGCAGCCACTCACAACCTGGAGGAAGGCAGTCTCTCCTACACTATGGAAGGCAGAGATTCTAATACTATGAAAAATAAGAAAATCAGTCACCATGCTTTCCAAAAGATGAATCCTCAGCTACTTTAGTTATGAAAGAAGTCAACTTACTGCCCTTCTAGCAACCAAAAATCTAATGCTCTGTCTAAACCACATGCAGTGTGATTCTAAATGGAATTATGCCAGTCTATACCTACTGAAATCAACAAGCTTTGACTGGAATAACTCTGCCTAGGATTGTACTGACAGTCTCTAAGTCTCTAAAGAAAATAATTCCAGAGGGTCGTGGTGGTAGTCAGTTGCAGTAAAATTACATAGGAGTCTGGGAGTATTTTAAAGATTATGCTAAAAAACCTTTCATTTTAAAAGTACTACTGGACTCCTGTGTCATTTCTCTGAAGAATGGATCTTGTACCTTGAACCCATGTGGAACTCTAAAACATGTAGTGGTGTTACAAAACGCTCACTCAATGGACTCCATCCACCAGGGATCAGTTGGGCCAAGCATTTCCTGCCCTTCATGCAGATTCCAGCCAAGTCTCCAAAGCAGGAAGCTCCCAGACGCGGCAAAAGAGGGCATTGGGTACATTCAGCCCAAAGAGGGTGCCAGGCCAGCCGCTAAAGAAGGTCCCATCCTAACATTCAAATCATTTAAACTATATTCCAACCTTTCTGCTCCTTCCCCAATCCGAAGTACCATTTATAAACCAGCTGCTATTAAACAGATTCATTTTTGTTCATTAAGAACAATGAATTTTTCCTCTTCTCAGAGGCATTTGCAGCTTTGACCTTGCGTATCAGTAAATGTTTCTAAATTTGCACAAATAGTTTGAAAGGGAATGGAAAGTTCTAGATAAGTTGCATGCTTTTTGATGCAGTGATCTAGAGGGACACTCAAGACTGCCTGTTAAAACCCCAGTAGAGGTAGGAGGAGGCTCAAGGACATTCTACCCTTTCCTTCAAGGGCAGCCATCGCTAACCCCTTCAAGGCCAAGGCAGAAGGCCCCAGGCATGTTTTCATGCTCTTCTATGTGGGTTTTGGTCAGACTTTGTCCGTCATTAACAAAAAAGGAGTGGGGAAAATGTGCACATTCCTTGTTTGCTGGTGTAGGAGCCCTGTCAAAAGAAAGTACCTTCTCAGACAGGGTAGGAGATGCAAGTCCAAGATCCCTCTATACCCTGAGGTCTACAGCATTATGAAAAAGTCACGTTTTGGAAATCATAGGGACTGTCTGCTGCATAGACAGCATGGAGGCAGAGACCCGGATCAAATATGGATGAAGGGAACGAAATGGGTGATGTGTGTACCTCAGTGATTTGACTTAGCTTGTGCAATCCAGAAGGTGACGGTTTGGGGCCTGCTGTTGGGGTAGGGTGTGGATCCTAGGCCAGAAAGGGAAGGGGGGAGGGCAGCGATAAGAAAATTGGGTTTTCAGTGCCCTTGTCTCAGTCTCATTCAAGTTGCATTCAGTTGCTAGGAGACAGCCTTCAAGGACTTTGTTATTCCTAAACCTCCTTCTCTCCTCTCCCACCTGACCTTTTCTCTCCTACTCCTGCAGCTCACTCGGGCCTCCTCCAACTACAGAAAGGTAGGTTTGGACAAAAGAACAGAATCCCTCTCCAAGCCTTGAATAAGCCCATCCAAAAGATGCCTCCTCAGCTCATGCCTCTCCATGGTGGCACACCCCACCCACCTTCCCCAGGGATCCCAACCCGGTCTCCAGTTACCTCTTGCTCGAAGGTGTCACCTTGAGTAACCTTGAGCTGTGATGCATTATTAACCCTTTGCAGTTGGAAACCCTCCCCAGACTCCATTCCTAGAATTGTCACGACTCGTTTTACATAATGCCCATTTGGGGGAAAGCGAGGGGGAGGGGAGGGGAAGAAGGACCTCACGGATACACACAACCCTGTCTCCAGAGGCAGAGCACGCGGGTCTCTCCCCACCCTCCCCGCGTGGTACCCTCCCTGAACGTCGCGCAGGCAGCCGCAGTGGCTGCAGGAGGAGGAGGAGGAGGCGGCGGGCTCCCCCTCTCCCCACCCACTCCGCCCGGGCCGCAGTCACGACTCGGGTTTGACTACATCAGCGACCTTCAGCACGACCTTTGCAGGCGGGAAAGCGAGGGGGAAAGCGAGCCGCTCTTTCCTAGCGCAAAGGCAACAGGCTGCAGCCGGAGAGACAAGCGCGCGCGCGGCAAAAGGCGAGCCAGAGTGGAGCCAGCCCGGCGCCTCCCTCGCCTGCCGTCTAAGCAAGCTCCAGCCCAGCTTCCCCCCCCCCCCCCCCCCGGGACCCCCCCCCCCCCCACCCCCCCGACCCTCTTCCGCAAAATGCAGAAAAAATCGATGTCTTTCGATACGTTTCCATCCACATAACGTGCCAGTCAAACATATCAAGGACGGGCGGGGAGGGTGGGGGGTGGAATCAGGAATCTGGTGAAGCGACTCCACCTATGGAAAGCCTCCCGGATGGAAACGAGGTCCTCTCACGGTTCCTCTTCCCACTCAAAGACCTCGCATCTATTTTTCAAAAACTGGCGAGGAGACTTGGCGTGCATTTTTCAACCTGGCACGAGCCAACACACGCACCCGCACACACCCGCGCGCGCACCAGTGGATCCCGGAGGCCACCGTTAAGACTGGCGCCCGACAGCCCAGTCCGCCTGTCCTGGATCGAAAGTTCCGCTCTGCTTGCAAGGTGACCGGCGGGAGGCAGGTTTGCAGGGAGAGGCGCCGACGCCGCCGAGGGACCGTCGCCTCGCTCCGCCACGCGCGCACGGATCCCCCGCGCCTGGTCGGCTCCAACCGAGCTCTCCTCCTCGTGGGGTTCTCAGCATTATTATTTTTTTTAACAAAAAAAGAGGGTTAAGAGAAAGAGAGGGGAGATACTTACACCAACTGCCTCCGGTCCTTCCTAGAAATTCCTTCTTCTCTGAATTCCAGATAAATTTCTTCCAGTTGCCATCCCCTTCCTTTGCTTTCCCGTGAGCCATGAGCGAGGATCGGCCCTACGACAGGCAGCCTTTGCAGAAGCGGCGCAGAGGAGGAGGGGGGGGGGGGAAAAAAAAAGCCTTCGGTCCCCTGGACAAGATCACCGCCTTCGGAGCGTCTCCGGCTACTCCCGCCTACAGACGCTCACCGTCTCCAAGCGCCCGCCGGGCAGAGAAAGCCGCTCTTTGTGCGCCGGCTGCGGGTCCCACCCAGAGGAAGGTGTGTGGAAAATAATCCTGGCCGGGATAGCCTCACATGTATATGTCTCTATAGCTATATTTAGGCGCACTCGCTGCGCTGTCGGGACCTGCTCCTAAGCAGCCGGGGTGATGATGAAGAAGAAGGAGGTGGAGGGGTGGGGGG